CAGGAGTCTGTGACATGTGTTTTGAGATAGGGAGAGAGAACATTTTCCCTCTCTAGCCTGGTGTTCCAAGAGCTTTCCTAATCCCAAACACAGTCCTCAGATAATCCCGAGGCTGGAGCCTGCATCATTCTGCCCCCTCAACATAGACCCTGAGTCTTCCCACAGTCATTCATCAAAGTGTTCAGGAGAAAGGCTAACAAAACCCAACCTGCTCCAGCCACACCTGCTCTCTCACTTGCAGCCATAATAAGTTCAGGTCCTACACACTCATCTACTGTTCCAAGAACAGTGCCTCCAGACCCTCTCACTTATTGTCATGGTGTTTCTTTTGATATACATCAATTATTTCTCTGGCAAAAAGTTAACCTCTTTGCGTAGGTCTGTCAAGAGTTTGGTACCCCATCAATCATTTACTGCCCAGAGTAATGTAGGCTGAAGACAAAAGAAAAGATACACTATCCAAAAGGTCAGATCTGTGTTCAACAGCGTTTGTGTCTTAGAAAACTTACAATGAAAAAGAAAACCTACAATTTCCCATTTAATGTTTTTTAAAAATTCAAGTGAAGGCTTAGATAAATGAATCAATCACCTAGGAAGTCAGGGTCTAAGCACATGGAGGCAGCTCATCAGGTATGGGGTCTCCTAGCCCAGAGGAAACCAAGTCATCAGCAGAAAATTCCCAGAGTAATTTCATAGCAGCAGATGGAGTGATGTGACATCCTTCTCAATTCTGCAGCCCTAGAGTGCTGCTCATGTGACAGAGGAAGAACTTCTGTGCTAGTCATCCTCCTGCCTGGGTTTGTGGTGATGAAGCAGTAACTAACCTTTGGCCTAGCTCTAAAGTTTCCACTAGTAACTGCCCTGTAGACACAGGGCCCTGTGATCCTGAGCCCAGTCCTGGGCTGGAGTCTGCGCCCCAGCTCTGCAGCAAATTCTGGCTGGTGGCAGGATGTTTGTATGCCTTGTGTGCTATATATGCATCTGATGCTGTGGAGGTTTGTCCTGGCCCAGCCCTTTCCATGGCCACATCCTCGAAGTTGTGGGGGTTTTTCTGGGTGAAGTGTACTTCCTGCTTGGTAAACAGGAAGGTATTTTCTCCTTTCTTGGTGGCCAAGGACCTAGAGAGTTCTGAAGACTCCTGAAAAAGGGCAGCCCAGTGCACAGTTCTGAGCTGTGCGCTTAGCCTTAGCATTGAATCTACACACACACATACACACACACACACACACACACACACACACACATACACACAGCACAGCACACAGCACACACAGCCTCCTAGAAGCACTGCAGCTCAAGAGGGGATATCAGGAGTCTTGAAGCATGGAACAGCAAGGATCCTAATGCTAATCAGTGAGTACCACCCTCACCTATATTGCTGTCCCTTACTCCTGCAGCTTCCATTCCATTATCCTCCCATCCTCCTCCTATTTCCTGCTCCACTTCACATTTCCTGACTAGTCTTGGGCTCTGTCCAGGAGCCCCACATAATCTGACCACCTTGAGTGTTTTCCAGTCTCCCAGGGCTCCTCTTTACTATGACTTTTTCTATCTCTCTGCTTCCCTCCACCCACACCATCTTTTAGCTGATGCCTTGGGGGTTACAGACTGGGTTCTGAATGCTGATTAGGCATTGTTTATCCAGCAAACAGAAATTATCCACAATAAGAGTCTCGCATTGGGAAGTGGTAGGACCCAAGGCACAAGGAGATCACGTCCTCTGCATGCCTCATGCCCTTCACTTCCCACCCTCTGTGTTTGTCTCTAAGGAGATCTTGTACAGGGAACAAGCCAAGCTTTGGGGGCCACCATCTGGAGCTACTACAGAAGTGGGCTCTAAAAGAGTTCCAGCTATGGCTGCTCAACAAAGCACTCCTGAAGAGCACCTCCAGGCACAAAGTTGTTCAGCCAGAAAAAGCAAGTGGAATGAAGACGACCTCAGAACTGATGACTCCATTTGGAGCCAAGGATCTAACCCCAGGTATGTGGTGCCTATGGGCTGATGGAAGTTGTGGCCCAAGGCCTAACGGCTGAGGATATCAAGTGAGTAAGCAAGACCCCAACCCACTCCTATTGATACCTAAATGCCAACCTCTCCTCAGGTGGTGACTTGCATGGCCCAGGACTCCAGCTCACCGTAGGCCAGAGCTGGGAGGCTGACTGGGGAGGCCTTGCTGGACAACAGAGTCCTACATTCTCTTCTACTCCAGTGCATTCCTAGACCCCATGTGATTCCCATAACACCCAGGATAAAGTCTTCCAGGGCTGAACAGGGGAGAGACTGCCATTCAGAATGGCACTACAGGGATAGATATGAGTTCAAGACTAGCTTCCAAGAGGAGTGCTTGCTCAGCAATGAAGTTATGAGTACAGATTTGGGAGCTGAAGGGGAAATCACTTCACTGTCTGCCTTTGTTTCTTCATCTGTAAAATGAAGAGATGAACCCCTTGGATTTGTAGGAATTAAAAGTGATCGTCTATAGTAAACATTTGCCAGAGTCCAATGTTCCACAACTAGGAGTGCTTGCTATTGCTTTTGCTATTGCCACTGCTGCTGCTCTGATCACGATTCATATAACTGCAGGGTGGAAGCTCATAGTCCCCCATGTGAGTGCCAAGACTGAGAGAGGAATGGTAATTACACAGAGGAGCAGTGAAAACCAGACCAGGGCCATGGATTTCCTGTACCTCAGATCCGATCATTTCCTAGCAGCACATATGAGAGCTTCACTTTCTGCATGAGCTTTTGGGGAATTGTGTGCAGGCTGCAGCACACTTGTAGGATCTCAGTGCCCACTGCTAAGACAGGGCTCCTAAGTAATGTAAAGAAACCCAGCCTCAGTCCCCTGGCTCTGCCCCTGCCTTTAATAAGCCTCCACCATAGGGCTGGGAAGGTGGCTCAGTTGTACAGCGCTTGCCTTGCATGCATGAGGCCCTGGGTTCGATTCCTCAGCACCACATAAGCAAAAAGAATAAAAAACCAGAAGTGGTGCTGTGGCTCAAGTGGTAGAGCACTAGCCTTGAGCTGAAGAGCTGAGGGACAGTGCCCAGACCCAGAGTTCAGGCCCCACAACTGGACCCCCAAAAATAATCCTCCAACCTCATTATGTCCCCCCGAAAGGCCAGTCTCTGTCAAGGGTCCCCCCAAATCACATCAAACATGGAGTTCCTCAACTGCCCTAGCAAATCTCCTAACTCATTTCATTCCTGTCATTTTTCTCTTCAGAAAACCTCTCTCTCAATCACACTCAGGAACGCCAACAACATCAATCACTAGACAAGGAGCCCAACATTCAACATCCCCAGAGACACGGGTCATCCATTCAGAAAAAGTCTATGGATGTGACACAAAGTCAAGAAATCCAAGAACATTAGAGATACAACGGTCTCTTGCTAAAGCAGGTGAAAATTACCACATAGGTGAGGCCATCCTGACTGACTCTGTGTGTCTGTGTATCTGTGTGTGTGTGTGTGTGTGTGTGTGTGTTTGGGTACTGTCCTTGAGCTTTTTGTGCTCAAGGATACTGTGAGGAAACTGAGTCATGAGTGTTCAGAAAGATCAAATGGAGACAAGTCAGGCTTTAATCATGGTTGCAGAGGGACACCATGTAACATGGAGCAGGATCAGAGGAACAAAGAGGGGAGAAGGCTGAAGCTTAGGTACAATTTGTCAAGGACATATGTTGAATTGAGTTAGGTTCAAGGGTAGCAGACAGTAAAGTAGGCATTATGACAAACATTTAGGCCAAATTCTACATTGCCATCTATTGTGGCTGAAAAGAATGATTTAAATTTAGGTGTGCTTGTGATTTGAATTTTATGTTGTGTTAGGTGAGAATGATCCCAAGAACTACTCAGGATGGGAGTTCCTGATAAGGGGTCCCAGGAAGGGCAAGGGAGCTCAGTGGGCCATGGGAGCACATTGGGTTATAAAAACAATCAAGACAGATTCCCATCACTTGAGATCCTGAAGGGATATAAAAAGTTGAAGGACATTGTGGTCTTTTCTGGCTAGTTCCTGCTGCCTTAGGGGCCCCAAGAGATCACTGGGGCTGGGGTCTTCAGGGGCCAGTTCTGCATTGGTCAGGGAGGTGTTAAGCGAAGCTTTCAGTGGCCTGCAGTAGTAGGATGGCCTTGACTTGCTCCTGGGCGTAGGCTTGTATGATGGCTGTTATGAGATGGATAAAAAAATTCTGAAAATATTTTTTTAGTAGTGTAAAAAGGTTAAGATAAGAATGATCACTAGAGATAGAATTATCACTGTCAGAAGCCAGGAGATCTGACTACAGACATTACTCCATTGATTAAAAAGAAAGAATAAAAAAATGATTACAAGGGATGGTGTTATCAATGTTAGGAGCCTGGATGTCTGGCTCTGGATGCTACTCCACTGACTCACATAGAAGAAAGATGAGGATCACAAGGAGACTGACGAGTATTGTCAAAGCCACACCACCGGATACAGGGGAAGGTTTGTGAAGGTTCCCTTGTGAAGCCATTGACTTCAATAAAAACAAACAATCCTGGTAGAACTTTTATTGAGAGGTGGGGGGAGGGTGGGTAGTGAGGGTTAGAGGAAATAGCTAACAAGCAGAGTTTAAAAATCCAGTCAATAAAGACCTAGGTCAAGATCTTCCCACACCTACTTAGGCAGCTGAAGCCATGAGCTGGTGAGGGTGGAGGCTTCTAGTTGCACACAGCCAACAACTTAGCCACAGGGTGGGGAGGATAATTGGATGGGATGAACAGGGGTGCAAAAGCCCCCTTTGGTAGGCTCAAAGGACTGTTTGGTTCTTTGAAATCCACTACTTGTGAAAACAAAAAACAGAGGAGAGGAATAAAGAGGAGAGAGGAAAGGAGAGGAGAAGATAGAAGAGGAAAGACAGAGAGAGAGACACACACACACACACAGACAGAGAAAGAGACAGAGACAGAGACAGAGAGAGAATGCCAGTAGTCTTACAACTGAGTTTGCTGGTCAAGTCAGTATGCCTAGGACAGGGTCTAGCATCCTTTTCTAGCAGCTCAGCAGCTAGAACCAGGGATTCCGGGTCCCATTCCGACCATCATTCAATTATAGTAAGCAGGAGGGACCAACTGGCTTTCAGAAAGCCTCTGGGGGGAAAAGATAAAAGGGGAGATGGTAGGAGAGAGATAGAGGAATGTATTATCCCCTACAAGGACCAGAATCCTCCAGGGGAACACTGTTCCTGGTGAGGGAGTCATCTTTGGAAACTGAGTCATGAGCATTAGGAGCAATCAAGTGGATGAGAGGAGACAAAGAAGTCAGAGACCTCAGCAGACATGAGCAGGCTTTAATCATTACAGCAGAGGAATCCCTGCAACACTGAGCAGGGTCAGAGAAACAAAGAGTGGGGAAGGAAGGAGATGTGAAGCTTAAGTACAGTTTGTCAAGGACACATGTTGAATTGAGTTATGGTGGACAGTAGAAGGCAGTCATGTTCATTATGATGAACATTTAGGTCACAAGGTCACATTGCCCTCTGTGGTGGCTGAAAAGAATGGTTTAAGTTTAGATGATTCCGGGTGTGTGTGCATTCCCAAGAACTGCTCAGATGGGAGTTCCCAGTAAGGGGTTCTAGGGAGGTGGAGAGAACTCAGTAGGCCCTGGGAGCCACACTGGGTTCATTAAAAAAAAAAAAAGCAATACAGATTCCCATCCACTAGGTACCATTCTACCACCTGACTCATAACTCCACCACTGGCATTTTAGTGGTTAATTGGAGATAGGCTTTCCTGCCCAGGTTGGGTTTAAACTGTATTCCTCAGCTCTCAGCCTCCTGAAACGCTAGGGTGACAGGCATGAGCCACCAGCACCAGCTTTCTTTCTTTCTTTTTCTTTCCTTACTTTTTTTAAAGGGGTACAGCAAAAGCATGAACCAAGAGTCAATCCCCTGGGGACCTGATTGAAAGACTGAACACAAAAGACCTAGAAATCCTCTGAAACAATTCTACCAACCCTGCCTTGGAAGTCTCAACAATGGGCTCTGACACTGCCTCCAAGAAGCCCCGGGTATTAAAATGCAGGTTCATTCTTCAGCACAGGAAACACACCACCTGGCTTAGTGGGCAGGGCACTGGCCTGGGATCAGGAGAGCAGTATTTGGTTCCCACAGGGGCCCTCAGCATCTCTCTACCCAAGTGCCTAGAACAAGTCATGTCCCTTCAAATGACCTCACTCCAGGTCAGGCCTTGGTCCCAGGGCTTCACTTGCATGCTCTACAATTTCACAACAACTCTGTGACAGAGAGACAACTATTGTCCCACTGTAGAGATGAGCAAAGCTCTAAAGTTAAAGTCACACAGTTAGTGGCAGAGCTGGAATTAAACTATCACTGTCTCCTTCACCATAGTCCACATCTCTTATCCTTTTAAGCCCCTAAATCCTATGCCCTATGACATGTGGGTAATGAGGACAGACACACCAAAGCCAAGAGCACATAGGGTCCAGTGGCATGGTCTTAACCTTGAATTACACTGCCTCTCAGCATTAGGAGATGCCACTTTGGAAAACTTAGAGATGTTCAATTAATAGGGTTTGTTCTACATGAATTTAGGAATAAACTCATAGACTTCATGGTTCTAAAATGTGGTCCGTACTCCATGTATATTGACTAACTTTGTAAGTCATACCACTCTTCATCCAAAATAGGGAAGAAGGAAGAAAGTATCACTGGCAGGAGATGAGTTGAGTAGTTTCCTTTAAATGCAAGAATTCATAAGGCTGGGAAGTTGGCTCAGTGGTAGAGTGCTTGCCTCATGTGCATGAGGCCCTGGGTTCAATTCTCAGCACCACATAAACAGAAAAAGCTGTAAGTGGTGCTGTGGCTCAAGTGTTAGAGCACTACCCTGGAGCTGAAGAGCTGAGAGAAAACGCCCAGGCCCAGAATTCAAGCCCCAATACCGATAAAAAAAAATTCAGGAACTCTTCATTTAGGGTCCTTGTCTTTGATTGCAGAAAATTTTCTGGACAAGTCAATATGGTAAGAAAACTTAGCAAGTCTTTGTTAAATAAACAAGCAGGCAAGCAGACAAACACACAGAAGGGCTGGAGCACACTCTAACAGAGTGCACGCTCTTACAGTGAAAGACACACTGCTCTTTGGCCTGTTAGGGCATTTATAGGATAAAGGCAGGGGGTCTGGATTTCAAGTTATGCAAGTTGGGTTCTTTGTCTTTACTCTAACCACATCTGGCATTATTTTCTGAGTTTCCAAGTAAGAATGCATACTGCCAAAAACAAATCCAATCCTTGAGATAAGGAAGCACCTTGCTATTTGCATTTTAAGCCAGGAGGCTTAAATTTGGGAGGGCATTCTTCTTAGAAAGGCATACATAAATGCATCCATCAGGAATGAATGCAACCTGTTGTCTCTTGAAGCAATGATACTATTTCTATGTTTCTAAATACTATATTTCCAAGTTTCTTTCACCAGGCCTCAGTTTCCTTAAATTTTCCTATTTCAACAAATGACTTTGTTCCCATAATCTTAATGGAAATGAAGGAATATCTGCTGTATTTGCTGTAAGCTGACTATACCACCTTTTTTTCTTAGTTCATCTGGCTTCAGAAGGAACGAAGGAAGGAAGAAAGAAAGGAAAAAGCAAGCAGGGAGGGAAGGACTAGTATCATCTTACAGAAACATGCAAATGACCTAAACATTAAAATGATACACGCATAAAATGGAAACAAAAAATGTGGGAGGACAAATTAGTAGGCATAAAAGATATTTATGTTAGTGGTGAGTGTCCAAGCAAGTAGCACAATGGACATATATAAAATGGATTTAATGGTAGCTTTCAAACATAAAAAAAGGCTGATTCTATAGAATTGCATTTTAAATACTTTTATTAGTTGTATAAAGGTGTGGCCATTCAACAAAGCAGTTCATGAATACAATGGGTCTTGGTCAATGTCACCTGTCAACAAAGAATTGCATTTTTTCACCTGACTTTAAATTCTAAGGGAATTTTTCGGTGGAGCACTTGAATAAAATAGCATCTCAGAACAAGTACAAAACCCATATGGCATTTTTTGAAATATTAGAAGCACAGGTAGAGATATGTGTGTAAAGACAGAACAATAGGATGTAGGTTTTTGCTAGACTCCAGTAATCCTATCTACTCAAGATCTGAGATCTGAGAATCACAGTTTGAAGCCAGCCTGGACAGAAAAGTCTATGAGACTCTTAATTCCAATTCATCAACAAAAAGCCAGTAGGGGGAATATGCCTCTAGGGTAAAGCACCAGCCTCAAGTAAAAAAGCTAAGGGAGAGCTCCAGGCTCCTAACACAAGGCCCTATACCTTACCACCCAAAGTATGTTTTATAGGTTTTCATTGCAACTATCTAAGCCTGCTCTAATAGCCTTCAAGTAGTCAGAGCTGAGAAACCAAGAAACTGTGAAAATTCAGTCTTTATTCTAGTCACTGAATCAGTGCCCTTGATACATATTTAAAAAAGGAAAGAAAGTCATGCATCTGGCTTGGTCACATCAGGATTTGAACTAGTATCCTCTCTATCTATGTTCATGTTCCCTCACTGCGCTACCAAGAATGCTCCACGGTCTGCAGCTGATGTGCAATGTAGCTTAGAGTCTGCACAAAGTTCATGATTGTTTAACAAACAAATAAATCATAAATCATTCTAACCCATTCATTTATGTTCCTTCTACCCTCCCTTACTTAGAAGCCAGAAAAATAACATCCAAGAACCAGAAGACAAAGAAGTCTTTCCCTTGGAAAAATGAGTATTTCACTCAACTGCTACTTCTACAAAAACCTTACCCCAAAGGCCAGGAGCCCCTCTTCAGGAAAAGCTGGCATCAGGATGAAGTGGAGGAGAGAGGACATTTGATTGACATCCGAGATTTATTTGGCCCAAGTCTAGACACCCGGGGACCATCTCCAACAGTCATACTGTGTGGGTCTGCCGGAATTGGGAAATCGACTCTGGCCAGGCAGGTGAGAGGAGCCTGGGAAGAAGGGCGGCTGTATAGAGACCGATTCCAGCACATCTTTTTCATCAATTGCAGAGAGCTAGACCAGCATGGCATTTTGAGTCTGGCTGAGCTTCTTGAAAAGGACCCAGCTGTCCCAGAAGTTCGCATTCATGAGATCCTGTCTAGTCCAGAGCAGCTGCTTGTCATCTTAGATGGTGTGGATGAGCTACATTGGACTGTAGAGAGGAAGATATCTTACTTTGGTCTGCACTGGAGCAAGCGTCATCCAATTTACATGCTACTAAGCAATTTGCTGAGTAGAATCATGCTTCCTGAGGCTTCCCTGCTCATCACAGCGCGGACCACAACTCTCTCTAAGCTGGTCCCTTTCTTGAAGCAGCCATGTCAGGTGGAAGTCCTGGGCTTCTCTGAGTGCAGCAGGAAGGAATATTTCTACAAATATTTCCCAGATGAGAGCCAAGCGCTCAAAGCCTTTAGCTTGGTTGAATCAAACCCCGAACTCTTGACTCTGTGTCTGGTGCCCTGGGTGTCGTGGCTGGTCTGCACATGCCTCAAGCAGCAGATGGAGCGCGGGGAGGAGCTTCCACTCACTTCTCAGACCACCACAGCCCTCTGTCTGCACTACCTTGTCCAGAATCTCCCAGCTCAACTCCTGGGGACACATCTCAGGGGGATATGCTATCTGGCTGCTGAAGGAATCCTTTGGGGAAAGACTGTATTCACTATGGATGACTTGAGGAAGTATGGTTTAAGGCAGGATGTCATTCCCAATTTATTAGGGATTGCTATCCTTCAAGACCACCAATCTATGAGCTACAGCTTCATTCACCTATGTTTCCAGGAGTTCCTTGCAGCAGTGTCTTTTGCCTTATGGGATGAATATCCTATCTTCCTGATAGCAGAGAAAGACTTGAAAGTACAGTATAGAAGGCATCACCTCTTTGGAGAACCAACCATTCACTTCCTCTTTGGTCTTTTAAGTGAACAAGTAACAAAAGAGATGAAATGCATTACCCACCAACTGCCTCAGATGAAGAAACGGGAGCTGCTATTTTGGACAGAGATAAAATACAGGTACCAGCAGCCATTTTCACTGAAAGTGCTTCACTGTCTTTATGAGACTCAGGATGAAGACTTTCTGACCCAAGTTATGCAAAGATTCAGGAGAACCAGAATGTACCTCCGTACAGACATGGAGCTTCTGGTGGCCACTTTCTGTATTAAATTCTGCAGCCATGTGAAGAGGCTTCAGCTGATTGGACCACAGAGACAAGTACGGAGATTCCCTGGAGTAGTTCTGTGAGTATGCCACCAAACCCTTCCTCCAGCTCCTCTGTGTCCCAAGAGCCCCATTGTGCTGTGTACCAGAAACACGCTCAATCTGGCCCCAGCGCTCTGGATGGAGGTCATTGGTGACTTCTAACTGTCCAAACTGACGTCCATTGTCTGCCCACCCAAGAGCTTTGGTACAACTGTGTGACAGACCGGCCTAGTCCTGCTGTCCCTCTTCCTAGCTCTAAGATGGCCACCACCTCCTCTGCTGGGCACTCTCCCAACTTCATGCGATCTTCACATGGCCCTAACCTCTCCAAGACTCAGAAAAACCTGCCTCTGAGCCTCTCTTTTCATTGGCTTTCTCTGAGAAATTGTCACTCAGGCACTTTAGGGACTCCTTTCCACATTTCAGTGACCTTTGCCTTGAGACCATTTCTCATCACCTCAGAATACAGGTGTCTGAGAAGAAATGTTCAGTTTTCCCTGAAATCCTGGTTCCTTGTTTATGTCTGTTGTAGACAGTCAACCTGAATCCAAATGGGAGCTTGGAAGTGTAATGCTCTCTAACCAACCTCAACGTAGCCACCCTGAGAATGTCCCCTCCCGGATTTCTTGCCTCTCACCGTGCCAGCCCTGGGCAGTGGTGTGTTAGCTGATGATTTTAACTCTTAATAAATTCCCTCATTAAGCATTAAGCTTTCCAGGCCTTAAATATTACAAATTGAAGATCAAAATCCCTAAAGTGCTCAGAAACTAGGAGAGAAGACATATCAGGCAGCAATGCCAATAGAGGGATACAATATAATACAATAACAAAGGTACAGAGAAGAAGTGGTCAACATGGGGAGCAGAAAGGGAAAGATCTCAAAGGAAGAAATGGTCTACTCATATGATTCCTCTATTTTCAGACTTTTTTTTAAATTTAATTTTACTTTATTTGTGAACATACTGTACAGAGGGGTTACAATTACATAGGCAGGATAATGCCTACATTTCTTACCAAGCATTGCAGCCTCCTCCTTTGTTTACCCTTCACATCTCTTCCTAGCCTCCCCACTTCCCCCAATCCCAATCCTTCTCCTCCCCCCCACACCGACATTGTAAAGCTTGTTTTGTACATGACCACTTGTACTTGTCATTGTTGCAACAGGTCCACCTGTATCCTTAAACGACTTGTTTTTCCCCATCTCCTCCACAAGTTATACTGACATCCAATATAGTGAAGGATGGGGTTATACTGTGGGGGAGGGACATACAAAGCAACAAAGAAATAATCTTATAAATGCATTAGAAACACATGCATGAAAGAAAAAACATTAA